AATAAGCATAAATAAGCAAAAACAAGTAAAAATAAACAAGTAAAAATAATAAATCCAAATAAATAAATAAATTGAAAATTTCGCACCCCCCCCCCAAAATAACAGAATAGACAACGGCAAGGAATCTAAACATTGAAGAAATAAATAGCTTTAATAAAACATCAAAAACAGAGAAGAATAAATTGTACAAAATCAGAATGAAAAACAAATAAATTAACCGAAACAAATAAATAAACAAACAAGCCACTCCCTCAAAAATAACCGCGAGAATAGATTACCCACAATGCACCACATATATATAAATAGTAGCGGGAAAAATCCAACATTCACGACCTGACGATTGCGCCTAGCATGAAACAGCCTGTCGCCTCTGAGTGTTAAATTCAATGTTCACTCATATATATATATATATATATATATATATATATATATATATATATATATATATATAGTGGTGAAAAAAAGCATGGAGAGTTGAGTTAAAGGCAGATAACTGAGACATCCGGAACGAGAACAATCTACCCAGGAGAAAGAAATAAAGGCTCAGTCTGAAATTAGAATAACCTGATGAAGGACTGAACGTACCACGGCCGAAACGTCTTGAATATGGCAACAAAGATGAAGAGACCGGGCAATGTAAATATATATGAATAAATATGATTATGCGTCTGATGTAGCCCTAATGGGATATTTTTTTTCCATTTTGTCATACAATTTTAATACTGTTCTTGACTGTTAATTCAAATAAGACGGGAGAGTCCATCATACTTTAAATATCGAATTACTTTTCAATCACCCCTGTATATATATATATATATATATATATATATATATATATATATATATATATATATATATATATATATATATATGAAGATGCCAGCAATCGGTTTATTAAGTATATAGAAAGGAAACTAAATGTTAAGCATTCCTGTGAGAAATACGCCTTTAAGCTTGTATTTTTTCAAAAAATTGTGTACAATTGGTGCGTGCGTCGTATGTAAGCACGTGAGAACGAAAAGGTGCGAGAATTAAATTATCACACGGAATGCAAATCAAGGTCTTTGCATGTCACGGTGCATCGATGAGTTCCTTCCAGCAACTGACGTCATCTCGTGTAGTTGTAGACGGAAACAAAGTCCGGGTGAAAGGCATTTTGTGTCTTCTTTTTTATTTTGTTTTGTTATTATTTTGATGTTAAATATGAATCTAAAGGTATTTGAAGAATTCGTTACATTTATTGGATTTTATCGACGCTTTTGAAGGTTTTTCTTTCTTAACTCTTTCCTGTCGTTTCATTTTCGAGATTCTTTTCCTTTCATTTTCGTTTTTTTTTATATTCTCACTTTGATTGCCATTTTCCTTTTTATTGATTCTCATATAAAGTTTATTTAGTACGTCAGAAGCCAAAAGATAATACATTTAAAGCGAGGCTGTTTGAATTGTCTCTCTTCTTTTATATGCAGTATCACCTCCAGGTGTCGACGTTCATGGCTCTCCACAATATCCTGTCCTTTGTATCTATTAATAGATTTTGCTCACCTAAACCTTGCTCCGCCGTCTATTTACTCAAGGTCTTTAGGTAGATTATGCCTTGTTTTCCCCAGCATATCTAGCCTTCAATATGTCATGAGAGTATCATGTTTTCCAGTCCTCCTTTCCTCATTAAGTGCGCTATAAATTCCAACTGGTACATCCAAATTCTAAGTTTAAGTATCCTTTTTTGTTCTATATTCTCTAAAACTTCGTTTCCCACAGGTTCAGTTCATTGTATTGTTGGCATCTTTCTGTAGAACCACATTTTTGTTTCTTCAAGGTTCTTCTTCATCTGTGAGGAGATTGTCCAGTATGTCATTTAGGACGACTGATATTATCTCATATTTAGGCACTCTTTTCTTTCTTTACTTATAACAAAATCTTACATCTTAACGGTGTAAGAGCACCGACTTCGATCCCGGATCAAAATACATAATTACTTAAGCTACGTTAAGACACAACGCAAAATTAATTATTGTAACCCAGTTGTGGATTAAATAACAGGGAAGACAAAACTCTCGGCTTTGATGAAAACCACAAAAAAGAAGATAATTACTGAATTCAAAACTGAAGATAAGATAACGAGAAACCGTATTCCCATGAATACAGTACACATATAATAAAGAAAAAAATAAACTGCGGAAAGCCATGAATGTCTAAGTCCTGAAAGGGGATATCATTGCTTGAAAAGAATTGAAAAATAAAGTTTGGTTACGCCAATATTTCCAGTGTTATTGAGGTTGCTTTATCTAAACACCAGCATTCAAAATATTAGCTTGAGACAAACTCGAATTTTCTTTTATGTGTTATATACTTCCAGTGCATGGGTAAAAATAACGCTCGGGGCTTCCTCCTTCAGGGTTACGTGGAGTCCTTGGTTAAACGGGAGGTATCAGCTGACGAGGAGAACTTTTTTCCCCGTCGGGATATATGTTTCCTACCAGAGGCCATCTCTCTTCTTTTG